GCCTTCTGAGTCCTCTGAGCTGCGTAGCTATCCATATGCCCCAAATGACTCTGACCTAACGTGCAACGAGTCCTTGCTCCCCACGCATGGGGCCTTGGCCCTGGTGAATGGCTCACCTTCCTGTCCTGAGAGCCAAACTGTGGCTTGGTTAGAGGATCTGTTACACTTTGAGGGAAAGTCCTAGCAAAAATATTGATTTAAATTTTATTCCATTAATTGTTTTTTTTTTTTTTTTTGTGGAACTGGGGATTGAACTCAGGCCCTTGCACTTGCCAGGGAAGTGCTTATTCCACTGAGCCATCTCCCCGGCCCCATATTCCATTAATTTTGGAAACTCATAAAGTGAATATACTTAGAAAATAAACAGAAAACTCCATGTTAGCTGCTTTTATGGAAATGACAGTTATGTGCTGCATCCCGACGCTTAGCCCTTAAAAATGTCTCCTCCCCCCAAATGGATAAAAGAAGACCTGAAGCAACTCGGTGGCCCCCAGTTTCTGGCAGCAGCTGTTCCATCCCACTCATGGGCCCGCTGTCTGGGACCAGTAAGGAAACCTTCTTTTCTCCCCATGTAGGAGCCAGTGGGGTGGGTCGCAGCCACATTAAGAATGCCCTGCTCAACCAAAACCCGGAGAAGTTTGTGTACCCGGCCCCCTGTAAGTAACGCTTGCACCTCGGAGGGCCACAGGGAACCTGGGCAGTAGGCATCCGCATTTCAGGTTGCTATCCACCGTCTGCCTGAGATACCGTGTAGCCTTTCTTCATAGTTTTATGTTTGAACATTTGATTATAATATCTAATGGTTTGCAAAGAAAAGTTTATACCCACCATTGCTTCAACTAATAAGATGACTTGTCTTGTTCTCTTCTTTATTTTAAATGTATTTTAGTCCAGGGTCTACAGGGTCTCAGTATGTAGATTGGACTCAGTGATCCTCCTATTTTCAGCCTTCCAAGCACTAGGATTACAGGCGCGCACCACCACGCCCAGTCTCAATTGCTATCTCAGTGTGCCCCGGGGGCGGGGCCAATATAGCACACTGGGGATCTAAACCCTGGCCCCTGCGTGTGCCTAAGCAGGCACTTTAGTCCACTGAACTATCTGGCCAGCCCCTTTGTCTTGTTCTCTTCTATACACCGGTAACAGAAGTTGTATTAAACATTTTTTACTCTTTTAAAAGTTATTAATTAAAATTCATGAGCTGAGTGTGATGGCACATGCCTGTAAATCCAGCTACTCAGGAGGCTGAGGCAGGAGGGTCACAAGTTTGATGCTAACCTGAGCAACTTAATCCTCCATTCAAAAGGTGTAACTCAATGGTAGAAGCCTTGCCTAGCATGTTGAAGACTGTGTGAAGACTCTGGCTTGAATATATACATGTTCAAACATATATATATATATATATATATATATATATATATATATAGTTATATAAATATATATAAAATATATAAATATATAAAAACTACTACATACTCTATTTCCAAACTTGTTTTATGAACTTTCTCATATTCCTCTGCTGTCTGCCTACATTGCTTAGAGAGCTGTTTTATTTGGATCCTGGATGTGGGGTAATTTCCTTAGCTATCTCACTGTTTGACATTTAAGCTGCTCTGGTTCTCATGAAATACCTTTTAAATCTGAGCAGTGCTTAGGAAGAGCCTGACCAGCAGGGAATCGGTTCAGCAGTGTTGTGAATATTCCTAGAGGTCCTGCTCAGTGCCAGAGGCGGGGAGGTGAAGCTGTTGGTAGAACTTGTGCCTTTTCACACGTGCTTTGCTGAGAGTGGTCCACAGGGAAGAGTGAGCAGGGGAAATGCTGGCTGTCCGGAGGCCCCTCCCCCACCGCCTTTTGCTTTGGTCATCGTCCCTATTGTGTTCAAGTGACATTTCTCCAATCACCAAGCCTGGGAATGCTAAAGGTCAGAAATGAAGGAATGACAGCTAAAATGCAGATTCAGACAGGGTCATGCTGTGAAGCCGGACTGGCCTTGCACTCCCAGCTGTCCTGCCTCAGCCCCCAAGTGCTGAGGTGGCAGGGGTTTGCCACATGGCTGGCTCAGAGGTCACTTGAAAATACTTTTAGCTGTCATTCCTTCATTTCTGACCTTTAGCATTCCCAGGCTTGGTGGTTGGAGAAATGTCACTTGAACACAGTAGGGACGATGACACAAATTTCTTGCATTGGGCTTTGCTTCTTGAAAGTTATATTCCAGGCAGATGGCTTTCTTGGTCTGCACTGCCATCTAACATCACCCTTCAGGAGTCCACAGAAGGACACCCCCGTCACACTTTCTGCCTCATACAGAGATGGTGAGGACCTGAACTCACCCGGAATTGGTGTCCCTGTCCACAGACACAACACGGCCACCGAAGAAGAATGAGGAAGACGGGAAGGAGTACCACTTCATCTCGACGGAGGAGATGACGAAGAGCATATCTGCGAATGAGTTCCTGGAGTACGGCAGCTACCAGGGCAACATGTTTGGGACCAAATTTGAAACTGTGCACCATATTCATAAGCAGGACAAGATCGCTATCCTCGACATCGAGCCCCAGGTGCAGAGGTGTGGGCAGGCAGGAGTGCTGGGCACGCCAGCTCCTGGCAGTCTGGTGGGAGCTCGGGTGCTGCATGTGCTCAGTGGGGAGAGCCCCACACAGAGCAGCGGGGCGGGTAAAGGCCGAGGCTACTTACTGGGACCTAGTTTTGACTCCTGTTTTCCTTTCTTTCCATTTCTTCATTCTCTTGTAGACCCTGAAGATTGTTCGGACAGCAGAGCTCTCACCTTTCATTGTATTCATCGCACCTACTGATCAGGGCACTCAGGTGAGGGCACGGCCAGGCAAGTGGTGGGCTTTCCTCAGGTGGCTTTGCAAAGAGTTGAAGCACAGTGTCTTGTTCATTTGTTCGTTCATTCATTTGGCAGTTATTCCACTGGCTACGCCACCCCTTCTTAGGTAACAAGGCCAAAACAAATGAGACTGTCTCTGTCCTGAGGGGTATGACTGGGTCCCTCAGCAGAGGTGTATGGCAGAGCAGATCCTGCTGTGCATGAGGGTGCTGGCTTGGGTGGGCTGGGCAGAGGGAGCTCCAGGGACAACGATGGCACCAAACCCCTGGGAGGGGGTGGCTGTGGGGACAGAAGGCCTATGAGTACCTGTTTCCTTTTGTCCCATAACGTGGTTATTAGTTTTCATTTTCTGCCAATCTAATAGTGGGGAAAAAGGCATCTCATACTTTGCCTTTCACTCTAAGTAACTAGTTTTTGATGCTGTTAAGAGGCATTTGTGGGCTGGGAATTTAGCTTAGTGGTGCACTGCCTGCCTGGCAAGCATGAGGTTCTGAGTTTGATTCCCCATATTCCCCCCAAAACAAAAGAGCCATTTGTATTGTTTTTTCTGTGAATTATTTCACCATATGCTTAGGTCATTTTCCACTGGGTTACTGGCCTTTTTTTCACCATTTCTAGAAATTCTTCATTAGGGCAATTGGCCCTTTATGTCACAAATAGTGTCCTCCCGCTTTGCATGTCTTTTACTAGCAGGCATTTTTCATTTTTTAGCTGAATGACTGGTTGTTTTGTGGCTGGATGATCTGAGGTGAGGGGCCCAGAGTTACAGCTCTTGTGGCTGTGGAAGGGCTAGTGAAGCCTAGGCCAGCTGGCTGCTGGCCTCCCAGGAGACTCCATTTACCATTGGTCAGCTGGAAATTCTGTGATTTGCAAGTGTTCCTAACTGCCCACCTCTGAAGCAACCAGGGTCTTCAGAGCTTGGGCCTCTAGGCAGGTGGCGAGGAGGACAGGAGTGTAGGTCAGTGTAGAGCACTTGGCTAGGGTGTGCAGTGACCCTGGGTTCAACCTGCAGCCAGCAAGAAAAAAAGTGGTTGATGGGGAGCCAAGTAATGCAGCAGCAATGTCTGTTTCACGCCCAGCCTTGGCCTCTCTGGGCTGGGGTGCTATACCTACTTCACCCATGGTTCTTTTTTATTGTAGATGGAAGCCCTGCAGCAGCTGCAGAAGGACTCCGAAGCTATCCGCAGCCAGTATGCTCACTACTTTGACCTCTCCCTGGTCAATAATGGTGTTGATGAAACCCTTCAGAAACTGCAGCAAGCCTTTGAGCAAGCATGCACCTCTCCACAGTGGGTGCCTGTCTCGTGGGTTTACTAAGCTTGCAGCATGGGGAGCTAGCGTGCCTCTCTCTACATCTGAACTCCATTCCCCTTGCTTTAAGACAAAAGGGCTGCTTTAACTAATTCTGTAAGCTTCCAGCACTCTGCAACTGTCCCGGATAGGCCACTAGGATCATCTTGTCACTCAGGCTCCTGAAGGGCTGGGTTTGCTTTTCCTTCCACTGATCGGACCTCAGAGCGGTGTCTGGGAATCAGAAGTACTGCCCAGGTGCAATTGCTAATCGAAGATGCACCAAAAAAGCAGTGCATCCTGTCCCTCTGAAGCCTGAGCTTCTCTACCTTCCACTGCCCTGGGTTATCTTTTCATTGTTCCTTACTTTGGAGAAAGCATCTTTTTCGACTTTCCAAAATGCCAAATGAAACAGCTGTGCGAGCTACCTGCTCTAGGGAAATGTTCAAAGCAATAAAGATGTGGCTGTGAAAACACCCATGAGTGCGTCACTGGAGTTGTCTGTAGCACACTCCTCTAGAAAGGGAAGTGCTACCTGCGGCATTTAAACTGGGCAGTGGCATCAACACGAGATGCCTTCCTTGGGTCCAGCTGTGGCTGATCGTACATGCAGTGTCTGAAAAAGCCCCTTAGACTCCACTACAGGGCCCACCTGGTGGGAGAGGACCACGCGTGTCCACTAAGAATCCGCTAAGCAGGGGCTGCACCACTGGCAGGGTGGCCTCTGCTGTCGCAGCTGCACGGAGACTGGCACCACCGGGCCTTCCACTTCTCCCATTCACCACCCTCAGGACCCCAGCTGTCCACACTGGCAGGCTCCTGGCAAGTCAGAACCATATGCGCCCAGATGTGTGCACCCCCACCCCTCTGCCCAGGGGACAGGTCCCAAGGGGAGTGTTGAAAGACAGAATCAAAGAAATATAAAACAAGCCAAACAAAAGAAAACCAAACTTCAAATTGGACAGAAAAGTCCCCATATTTTTAATGAAAATAACTTTATATATTTTGCTTTGCCAGTTTGAGATCACTTAAAATTATAAAACCCAACAGGAATACTTAAAAAAAAGTCATGATTCAACTTTAACATGTAAAAATCACGTTCTTCTCCTAATAATGAACAAATTCATTCCTCAAAAGTAAATGAGGGTTAAAATGCAGAACTGCTTGGTTTCCACCACAAACACAGTAGCCACATGGTTTGGGTGAACACTGCTGTACACACAGGCTCTGAAGTGCACACGGGACCAACAGCTGGGCCAGAAACAAAGGGACACCACCCCACCACCAGAACACACCAGTCCTCAGAGGACGTCAGAGACAAGGCTTTCCCAGTGAGCAATGCCGGTCAGCTGCTTTCACTTAGTGGTGGTTCTATTACCAATTCACTGAATAGTCTTTACAAACTTTAAAGGGGGTAAGAAAAAAGCAAACTAGGAGGATCACAATGCTAAAAATGGCCGTCAGTGGGCGCCACAGTCAGCGGGCAGCACTGGGTCTGAAGGTGGAGCATCCCAACCCACACACGTCAGTGGCATAAAAAGTGCCTCCTCTGTCACCCATGTCCTTAAAACAGGACAAGTGGGGACAAGCACGCCAGGTGACACCATTGAGGGGTCTAAAGAGCAGCTCAAGTGCCGGGACTCTTCACCCTGTGCAGGATCTTTTGCTTCACCCCCGCAGCAACCAAAGGAACCATTTTCTCAGTGAGGCTTCCATCTCTCCTGCAGCCTGGACACACTGCTCAAAGTAGCCTTGGCTACTCGGATGCCACTTCCACCATTTTGGCTTTCTTCTTCTTCTTCTTCTTCTTGGCAGTGTCACTGTCCTAGAGAGTAGAGAGAGACCCTACTGGCCTACCTGCACAACAGGGACACTCAGATGATTAAAGTACTCCCTCACAGCAATTCCCACTGTAAGCCACCCCTCCCAAGCACCAGGTATCCTGTGCGTGCAGCCCTCCTGGGCAAGGAGCAAACAAGGCCACCCCAGAACGTGAACAAGCAAGCTTTCCCCAGCTGGGGCCAAGCCCACCTGTGCCCATCGTACCCCGTCTCCAGGCTCAGCCCCGCTCTCCTGTACGTCTTTGGCCTTCTTGTCCTTCTTCTTTTTCTTCTTCTCCTTCTCCTTCTTGGACAATTTGGGGACTGCTACAGGGGTCTCCTCACTTTCACTCTCACTCTCTCGTTTCCGCTGAGGTGAAAAAAGTTGATCAAAAGTTCAGACTTTGGGTAGTAATGGGCACAGAAGTTCCTAAGTCAAAATGTCGAAGTCACTCAATATCCCAAAGGGACCCACAGGTACATGTTCCTGAGAAGTTATTCCTGGACTCCAGAACACAGGAATGTTCCCTGAAGTCCCCACACAGCGCAGCAGAGCTGGAGTTCGTGCCTGAAGCGTGTCCAAGGGCAGCATGCCATCTGGGTTCCAACCTTGGGGAACCAAGTTGCCAGGACGGGCTTCACTCTGCCCCTTTAACCACTCGTGCTGACTAGAAACACTGCTCTCCAGCAACTGTGCCCTGTTTTGTGCACACTCATGGTACTACTCGACCGAGGGGGCGGGCTGGAAGCACATGTGCCACTGTGCTGGACTGCGGTTACTGCCACAGGTGAGGCAGGGGCTGACACGACAGGAACAGCAGAGAAACACAGTCTTGGACCTCGAGTGTATACATGCCAGCCATCAAGTGAGGGCAAGAAGCCCACTGCACTGAGCAGCATCTTGCTAGACACCCCCCGAGATAAGCCTGGTACCGACACCCATTCCCAAAGATCACTCAAGCCACTCACCTTTGTGACCTTTCCTGCCTCAGCAAACACCTGTGGGGCCTTGGCCACATCAGCAACTGCCTGTGGTGTTTTCACTGCTTCAGCAACCACTTCCTTCTTGCTCGACTCACTAGGAGGACAGGCAGCAGCGGGTCAACTTCAGCTATAGCCTTGTCATGCAGCAACCCTCGGCAGGTCTAAAGGCACCGGGGAAACACTAACTCCGGACAGGACAGCCCAGCTCAGCCCCCTGCAGAGCACACGGGCAGCCCACAGTACAGCCAAGCCAGCCCAGGCACTTGAGGCATCAAGGGGCAACTGCTCAGCTCATGCCTTCCCCCAACAGACTGCCCTCACCTATAGTCCACGTACTCTTGCTTCCACGTGGCAGGGGTGCTGTCGGTGGGTTTTCCGTGCTTGTCCAGAAGGCCTTGCTTAATCATCATCTTCTTTTGACTTGCCTAGCGGAACATCAGGGCCTCCACATGAGAATGACGGGAGCAGAAGAGGTGGAAACTGGCTGCACACCGTGGTTAGGCTCCACAAATGTACAAGGCAGCACGAGTTTCTTTCTGTCCTTTGCATATCCTCAGCAGGCATGGATGCAGGCTCCTCTGCAGAACTGCCCTGAATGCTTTCTCCCTTCTCCACCTCAGCACCTCACCCAGCTTCTGCACTCTCTTAACAGCAGACCCTGCCCTAAGCCCTGAGCAGGTCACATCCCTGCTATGGTCTCTCCTCAGAGCCACCACCCTTGCCAAGCCACTACCTCAGTGGTTTAATTAGCACCCAACAACCCCTGCCCTAAGCGAGACTCTAAGCCACAAGGTGGGGTCTGCTTCTGCTCTGCTTATCAGCCATCAGCAACTAGACACCTGTGCTGGTGGGGACACACTGGAACCACAGAGCGTGTGGGAAGTTAATAACAGGGCGCACAGCCACTCCCACTCACCTTGGGCCCTAAGCCCCACTTCCGAGGGTAGGTGTCCCTCTCCATGATCACTCTTTTGATCTTGGCCACTATACCATGGTCGCAGGTAGAGATCACGGCCGTGGTCATTAACGCAATAGCTACAGACATTGGAAAGGAAATGGGAGGGGAACAGTGATAATTGATTATTAAGCCGTAATTCTACCATTTCAAGCCTTTTTAAAGCCCCATGAGAGCCCCCTGTTGTATTTCTTTTTAATGTATTTGGTAAAGGTCTCACTACCCGGCTCAGACTCATAGTGGTCCTATTTCAGCCTCCACAACGCTGGGACTACAGGTGCATGCTGGCACGCCTGGCCTCGGTGGCCAGCTGAGCGCACTGGTGCAGGGGCTGGAGTGGTATGTGGTGCAGGGGATCCCTCTGCTCGATTTTTAATTGTAATCTCCTTTGCTTAGGGTGTGCATATGCAGAAAATCTATTCTGCGAAGGAGCCCTTTTTTTGGTGGCTGAACTGGGGATTGCACTCAGGCCCTTGCACTTGCCAGGGAAGTGCTTATTCTACTAAGCCAAGTCCCCAGCCCAATGAGTATATTCATAGGTAGCTTTTACAAGGTGTGGGTTTTTTTTGTATTTTAGGGAAGGGTCTTCAGGGTCTCACTACTACATCAGACCCGTAGTGATCCGCCTGTTTACAGCCTCCCAAGAGCTGGAATTACAGGCGTGGACCACCATGCCCAGCCTCAACTGCTGTCCCAGTGCGCTCCGGGGGGGTGGGGGTGGGCAGCATGGCAGGCCTGGGGATAAAACCCTGGGCCCCTGCACCTGCCGCCTGCCTGCAGGCACTTTAATCTGCTGAGCTATTTGGCCGGCCCTGGAAGGAGGCTTTTTGAAATGATGCTAAACTTACAAGGAATCCTGTTTACATGCTTCACTTCTGCTGTTAATTAGGGTTGCTACATAAGTAGCTCTGCCTTATTCAGCATGATGGCCACACAGTATTAAAGCGTTGTGAGGGATGATCCAGCAGTAGCTAAACTTTCACAAATGAGTAAAATGCTCGTACTGATCCCAAGCTACATGGAAGTAGACAACAACCCATGACTGCCCCTGACCCAAGCTCTTGTGTGCTCCCCAAAGATCTATGGGCCTGTGTGGATACAAAGGTGAACCCGCTCGCCTCCCCTTCCCTGTGATCACCAGAACACACCACACCATGAGACGCCAACTCCACCAGATCAATACAAGGAACCACCTCTGGAAACCAGGGCTACATCCCTCACCCATGCAAATCGCTTCCCCCTTGGTGGTGATGACCACGATCTCTTGGTTGACCTCAATGCCGTCTTCATAGCGGAGAACACCTGGAAGCATGATCTTGGCCCCGTAGCATATAGCATTGACCTGTGGGGACAAGGGCATCATTAGCAAAGCCACCAGCTGCTGCCCTGTCACACTCCCACACCAGTGCAGGACTGGACAGGAAGTGGCCCAATGGGAAATGGGGCTAACGCTACCAACAGCTCAGTGAGACGCAGGACCACAGCACACGGTGTGTGCTAGCCACTGCCCAAAGGAGCTTATACACAGCACTCAAAATGTCAAAGACAAGCACAATGGCTACTTCTCTTATTTCATGATACTTTAGCTAAGGCCATCTGACGGTCTGGTGACACCCAGCGCTTTCATGTGTCTCATGCATTCTCGTCTTCTTTGCTGACTATATTCCTCAAATTTACCAAGAAGCCACCAGCCTGATCCTAGTACAAGGAGGGCACGTGAGTGTAGTTTACTCTTCATGTGATTAAGTTTTTCCAGTCCTCTTAGTGCTGGGTTTTGGTATGCCACTCCAATTCATTATGACTAGAACATATACAATGCACCAAATATCTACACAGAACTTAAAATATGAATTATCAGCCTGTAATCCCACTATACGGGAGGCTGAGGCAGGACAATCACCTTGAGTTTGAGGCCAGCCTGTGATACATAGTGAGACCCTGCCTCAAAAAAACCCCAAAACTACTACTATTATTCGCAGTACTATGGGCAGAATCCAAGGCTCACACACTAGGCAAGCACTACACTACCTACTGCACGGCACCCCCATCCCCAACCGCAAATTAGAAAACATGTAGTGACACAGTATAGCAGTCACTCACTATTTCACAGTTTGACTTTCACAGACTCACTAAATTATTCATCGTGGATTTTTCACTGATTTTGGGATTTTGTAGTACCATACAGTATACATGCTTTTCTTTTTTTAGTACAGAGTCTACAGGATCCTCACTACACAGATCAACTCATAGTGACCCTCCTCTTTTCAGCCTCCCAAGAGCTGGGATTGCGGGCGTGTGCCACCATGCCCAGTCTTGGTCGCCATCTCAGCACACCCCAGGAGCGGGGCCGGCACGGCAAGCTGAGGCTCAAACCCCGGCTGCTGCGCTCTGCCAAGGTAGGCATTTTAGCCCACTGAGCTATCGGGTCGGCCCCATATGTTGTTTAAATTAAATAGCTTTATTTCAGATGGTTAAGGACATTAAAAGTGTTTTTAAAAGTGTGGGAAAGGTTTATAAGAGTGTAGGAAAGGATTATAAAGCCTTAAAATATAAATACTAAAATATAACATCGCTACTTTGCTGATTTTCAGTCATCATGGGTGTGCCCTGAACATAACCTCTGCAATAAGTGAGGGACTGCTGTACTTATTCGAGACAGGGGCTCACCATGCAGTTCAGCCTGGTCTTGAACTTGCAGCCCAGGCTGGCCTCAAATTTGAGGTGATCCTCCCTTAGCCTCTCAAATGCTGGAATTACAGACGTGTACCACCATGCCCGGCTACCTGAATTTTTAACAGCACTGTTCTTGATTATAAAACTATGGAATATAAGTGCTACAAAAGGGCTTAATAAGCTCAGTTTTAAACTCAGACCGCAGGGCCAGCCAGATAACTGTGCAGACTCAAGTGCCTGCTTAGGCTTGCCCCTCCAGCTCCGCCCCAAGGCACACTGCGCAGGTGCAGTGGTGTGTAGTGGTGTGTGCCTCTAATCCCAGCGCTTGGGAGGCTGAAAACAGGAGGCTCACTATGGGTCTGATCTGTGTGGTGACTCTGTAGACCCTGCATTAAAATACATACATAAATAAATAAACAAACAAACTCAGATCAGATTGCCTCAAGCTACAAATTACTTAGAGAACATAACTTTTAACTTTTTCATAATGTGTTATCTCTGAAACACTTCTCCTAAAAGGGAGAATTTTTTTCTTTCTTTTATATTTTAGGGAAGGGTCTGCAGGGTGTTCAGGGTCTCACTACCAGATCGGACTCATAGTGATCTGCCTGTTCACAGCCTCCCAAGGGCTGGGATTATAGGTGCACGCCACCATGCCCAGTCTCAATCACTATCTCAGTGTCTCTGGGATAGAAACCCCTGCCCCTGTGCCTGCTTGCAGGTGATTTAATCTGCTGAGCTATTTGGCTGGCCCTCTAAAAGGGAGAATTTTATGTACCACTAAAAGTCTTATTACTTGAACCAAGTTACTTATGGAAAACTAAAGTTAGCCTTTAATTTGCCTTATTTAAAAATGAAATTAGGCCTGGCATTCAGTTTTTACTTTAGAGTAGTATAACAGGCTTTGACATCAAGAAATTTTAGTCATATCTCCATTAACAAAGAGAATCAATCATTTACCATATGCAACTAGGGGTCAAAACTGTTTATGGGGCCAGCCAAATAGCTCAACAGCTTGCAGGCTCAGGGGTCAGGGGTTCGATCTCTGGGCCTGCTGTGCCGGCCCTGCCCCTGGGGCACTCTGAAACTGAGACTGTGATTGGGTGTGGTGGCTCAGGCCTGTAATCCCAGCTCCTGGGAGTCTGTAAACAGGCGGATCACTAGGAGTCCGATCTGGTAGTGAGACCCTGAACACCCTGTAGACCCTTCCTTAAAAATAAAAAAAAAAACCTGTTTATGGTATCCCTGAAGATGATACATAGAAGTTTTGTACTGCCAAAGTCTCATTTCTAAGAGGAATCCAATTTTCCGAACAAAGGCCGTGTCTTAGTTTTAGAGTTGCATCCTATGTGAACAGGGACTCCTGACCTAGACTTACCGCACTGTCCTTCATAACCAGCCGCTTATGAGATGTCAACAGCTTTTCCAAAGGGTAAACAACTCGCCGTAAGTAACTCTCATCCTTGTGGTTGTCATACAGCCACTGAGCATCGAGCACATCATGCATTGTCACCATGTGATCCTGAAAAACAGCCATGTACACAAAGAATTCAGCATCTGCACAGCTCAAATGTCTGTCAGACCTGTTAACTCATCTGCTCATGAGTCACTGGTCTCCCTGACTGCCTCTCTCCTGGCTATCTTTAACTGTCCCTATATCAAACCTAGTCCAGGCAACTCTCTGGGCCTGGAGAACACAGAATATTTTTTACCCAATTATCACTTGCGTCGTATTTCAGTGTTCCAAAGTTTAACAGAACAGAGAAGCTGCCCTGTGCTGAACTCGACACTTTGGAAACTGCCTCCCACAGGACATGAAGCAGGCAGAATCCCACCAAGGGTTGGTAGACCTGGAACCCTCCAGCCCCATAATGGCGTACCTTCTCACTCATGACTCCAGAACGAACCCTCCGAAGTTCCTGCATCTGTCCACCAACACCCAGCAACAAACCCAGATGCACACACAGCGTCCGAATGTAGGTGCCGGCCTCACAACTCACCCAGAAGATTCCTGAGACACACAGATGACATGAGCAGCACCTGGTTGGGCGAGTACACACCTCCCTGGTGGGGGAACTGTTATTCTCCATCTAGGCCATCAAGGCTGAGATGACGGACACAGGCCGTGACTACAGTGTGCTAAAGGCATCTATTTTAACCACAGAACAGAATGCTCAGGAGCGTCCTCCATTTGTGCTCTATGGCACGCAGCTCCTCATTGGCCCAATCACTCACCTAACCTTCTCTCAGGGTCGTATTCAATCATTTTGCTCTCATAGATTGTCCTCACCCGGAGCTGCCTCTTCACCGCAGCGATAAGTGGGGGTCGCTGGAATAGGGCGCCCGTCAGAGTTTCTAGAGCCTGAGAACAAAGCAGAGCGCACACTAGCCTCATGTGCGCTCTGGGAGGCTATGACACAGTGAGACTTAAGACCAAAAATGCCCCTTTGTGTCTGCTTCTCTCTTCACTGCTCAGGTGGCTCAGTGCTGACTAGAATCTCCTCCTCGGAACAGACCTGGGAAACCGTGTCCAGGCCGGAGAAGCAGCCCAATGAAAGGACACCGGAGGCTCGCCAGGAAAGCAGGCCTGCTCACAGGTGCTAAGGGGCCGAAGGGACTCTCGCTACATTTGCACACTTACCCTAGAAAGCTGGGTCCCCCCTTCGATAGCATTGTGCAGCCGGACAATTCCCACATACTCTTTGCCTGAAAAATGACAAGAGTAGTCAGGTGTAGCCACTGAGTTTCCTTAAATTTTTATATGCACAATCATGCCACGTTGGACAAGGAAGCAGGCAATGTGACTTTCCCATTTCTGTTAAGTTTTTATTAAGCCAGATTCACAGTGTGAATGAGGGAACATCGTAGACATTTTCTCACCTGGAGCTCAAGGTTTGGAGTGCCCACAGAGTCAGAGTCAGGGACAGGGACAGGGACAGGGACAGGGATAGTACCCATTGTACAGCCAGACGGAAAATGCCTTGCAAGGATACTTTAGGTGAAGCACGGAATGTAGAGCCTGGAGCAAGAAGTCCAGCATCGTGGACAGAATTCTGCCCCTAGCCAGGGATGGAGCAGGGGCACCGTGTGAACATGCCTAGCACTGGACCTCAGAGCAAGATGGAGGCAAATGCCAAACACTTCCCAACTCCAGGATGTCAGCCCTTCTAGCCCCTCCACATACCTGCACTCTGCTGTGATTTCACCAAGCGAGTGGCTCGTTCTATGCACACAATTAAGCAGCCAGTCACCTTGGGGTCCAGTGTGCCACTGTGCCCCGTCTTCTCCACACGGAGGATTCGTCGGATCCAGGCTACCACCTCATGAGAAGAGGGGTTAGAAGGCTTGTCAAGGTTAATGAAGCCTGTCCTAGAATGGAAAAGACGTTCATGTACTACCTGCTCTTGTGCTCTTAAACACATTAAAAAAAAACAATTGAAAAAGTCAAAGAGAAGTTCACCACAGATACCAGTTGCATGTTCAGGGCAAAGCCATTATACAATGACACAACCTATTTGAATAACTGATGTGACGTGAAAGCATGGTTTTCAAAAGAATGTCAAGCGTGAACAGTGCTTACTTGGGATACTTACCTGATATAGTCCCCAATCTCCCTCTTTAGAGGGTTGGAACCACATGGAAGAGGTGTATAGTGGGTTGTCCTTACGTTCAGTTTATCAAAGTTCTGGAAAGCAATTATGTGATACAATTAAAACTGAACACTATAGCACCTTTTCAAATCCATTAATCTGGATTACCTGTTAAACCTCCTGAGGTATTAGGGAAATCACCAATATTAGTAAAAACAAGACAAACTTGAGCACTTGTTTGTTTAACACACTGCCCTAAAAGAGACTTGCTGGAGTACTATAGAACAGATTAGGCTGACCATGCAGGATTACAAGTTAACAAGAAAAAGCAATCGCTCTGATTTCCTCAGGGACAAGGCAGCCAAACTGAGAATGACTGGCAACATTTCCCAGCACAGCTAGCTAGTTTCTGCTCTAGATGCCCCTGTGTTGTTTCCACAGTGGTTCCTTGAATCCCTTCTCTATGGCCTGGCCACCAGTTGGAAAGCAGCCACATTTACCACTACACCACCAATGCACACTTGGGCCACCAGTGTAGCTTCATTACGGTACTTATTACATACAAGCAGCACTGTTCTGTCCATTTCCCATGCCTAGCATTATTTTCCTCATAGTAGAGACCTTGCCTACCCTGTTTACTACCATATTTCAGGATCAACCACATAAAAGCAGGAGATACATGTATGAGTGGTACCTAGCCAAGGAGAAACTTACATGTTAAATGATACAAGCCAACTTCATAGTTTCCCCAACCCATACGCAATGGCTCTTTGTCAAGGGGTGCCTCTAACTTTCTCCAACTCTCATTGCCAGTATCCATTTTAATTATAAAAATTACAGAAACAATATAATTCAACTCGTCACTCAAATACCTCATTTAAGATCCCCAATAAAAACCAATAATTTAAGACATACTACCCATCAGGAACTGTGGCTAGCCATGTTTTGTAACCCTCTGCACATCTGAGATTTGCGCAAACAGCCACAGAAAAGTAAATGGATGATCCAAGGTCACTCACAATCTGACCCAAATTGGGCTGGTTTCAAGGTTCTTAAACCACCACAGCATTCCACCTTCAAGTGTGGCCCCCAAACTGGTGCAAGTTGACAAGATGTATTTCATCTTCAGACCAGACACGACACCATTCACACATTTTGACAGCAACTTATGACTGTCGTAACATTTATGCTGTGTTCTATAAGAGTGTTAGGAATGCTAAATTACATGAGCTTTCACTCCAGACACCTTTAGACTGCATTATGTGGTATTCACTAAAGTCAAAGATGTTAACCGTAAGTATTCTTAGGTAACTGGTCAGCAGTTATGTTCCGAAAGCCCTCCACTGGATGCATACCGCACATACCTTGAGCAGCAGAGGCCACTGGGATGTGTCCAACTGAGCCACTTTGGATTCTGGTTTGATAAGAAATTCTTCAGCATGTTGTATTTCCTTCCACAGGACAGAAACATAACCTATTAGACTTTCTCACTTGACTTTGATCAGTTCCATTACAGCTACCCAGGTTTTCATGCCTTTTCAACTGAAAATAAGGTTTTCCATGCGTCTTCACAAGGGCCTCCAAGGAAAAGAAACCAATGGGGACCTCATTGGGGAAAGTGATATGCTACTAAGATAGGAGCAAATGTTTTAAAAAGCGTGAATGTATGGCTGTGGGTGGAACAAACTAAGAAATTCTGGGAGAACTGCTGGTAGCACCAACACCTGCTAGGCAACTATACACAGCATAACCAGCAGCTTTCTCGTTGTCTGAGGTTGCATCATTTCAGGGCTGCCTTGGTTCTAGGGGATGTCGCCCAACATCAGCCCATATATTAGGCCCATCAAAACCACCTATTTCCTTCAATCGTTATTTAAGTAAACTTTACTTTGTAATAAAAGCAAAGTAAAACATCCTACTCACAGCAACATCTTCTTCTTGTAATGACTTCCGATCCTTTTTCTTCTTATGCTTCTTTGGCAGAGCGATTACTAAAAGAAACAAATAGGGGATGTGGGAGAACGAGAAAAGTTTAAAATTAGGATGAAAGTCAGGTGCAGGCAGAAAGGGTTTCGGCCCAGCGCTAGGAGGGAAAATGTAAGCGATCCGAGCTAGAGTCCCGGGGGCCGGTCCGGGCCGCGCTGCACATGTCGCTTCTCGTCCGCGCCACCACGTGGCCCGCCCGCAGGTAGGGAAGCTCGGCCGCCACCGTGCCGCGGTCGCGCAGGCTCAGGGACTCCGGGGTTTTCTCGCAATCTGGCCCCTGGCCCCGCTGGCTGCACGCCTCACCCGCACCCGTGCTCTTCCCCTCTCCTGGAGCTCCCACGGCGGCGGATCCATCTCGTGTGGACTCTTGTCGCTGGGAACCCGCCCGGGCGAAGCCAGATCGCCGCCCAGGGCTCACTCCGCACACTACGGTGGGCTCCAGGCAAAGGCACTGTTGGCTTAAGGCCGTGCGGCGATGCAGCCGCCACACCGGTGGGAAGGGACGGCGAGCCTAGGCCCCGGGGCTGTCGCCTCCACCCTGGCTCCCGGGACCTCACAAGGCCACTGGGCCGTGTGGCGCGCGCGACCAACCCTCACCTTCTGCGTCGGCCATGTTGCACCGCACTGCACTGCACCGCAAAGCACCGCGCGCGTGCAGGCCAGGCCACCACCCGGACTGATACCGCAGACTCCCGCCGCTCCAGCCCGGTCAGGCCACGCCACTAAGCCCCACCCACCCGCGTCTCACTCCGTGCGTGCCGCGCCGCGGGGCGGGAAGAGGAGGAACCGTCTGGGGGCGGGACCTGAGGCGAGCGCGGGTCGTCGGCCCAATTCCCATTGGCTGGCTTGGCCCCTGTGGTGGCAGCAAGTGCTCATGCGCCACAGGACTCAGGCGCCCCCTGGCGGCCGTCTGGGCTGGAAATGTGAGCTAGGACTTCCACCACCTGAGGCGCGAGGCTTGACTTCGTCTGCAGCTCGCTGGCCAATTCCTAGTTTAATGCTGGCCCTACTAGCTACCCACCGTCAGGAATGCTAGCTAATTGTTTTTACACGCCGATCCCGTCAGGCTAGTGTAAGATCAGTCCATCGAAGGAGTAAGACACAGAGGGATTGCAAGCCTTTTGCCGCTTGGAATTTGTCTTCAGTTCAGGTGGCACTGGCCAATAGGAATTCAGGGTGAGCCACAAGAAAAAACAGTAAAAAGAAAAAGGTGAATTTAATTTTTTGAAAGAATTGTAGGGGGGGCCTGGGGAGATGGCTCAGTGGAATAAGCGCTTCCCTGGCAAGCACAAGGGCCTGAGTTCAATCCCCGGTTCTGAAAGAAAAAAAAAAAAGAATTGTAGGGGGCTTGCTAGATAGCTCAGTTGTTGAAACTGCCACTTGAGCAGATGCAGTCAGGCTCAAGGGATGATGGTTCGATCCCTGGCTCTGCAAGTCGCACCAGACCCGCTCTTTTCTTTTCTTTCTTTCTTTTTTTTTTTTAGGAACAGGGGATTGAACTCAGGCCCTTGCTCTTGCCAGGCAAGCGCTTATTCTACTGAGCCATCTCCCTGGCCCTAGACCCGCTCTTAAGGCTACCAGAACTAACCAAAAAAATCCTTCTCCGATCTATGTAATGAGACCCTATAGACCCTGTATTAAATACGCACACACACACACACACACACACACACACACACACACACAAAGCCTCCCCCACCAAAAAAAAAAACAAAACAAAACAAAACACCTCAAGCCTGCAAGCAGGTGCCGGGGTCTGGGGTTCTATCCCTGTGCCTGCTGTGCCGGCCCTGCCCCCCAGGGGGGGGGCACACTGAGACCACAATTGAGACTGGGTGTGGTGGCACTTGCCTGTAATGCCAGCACTTGGGAGTCTGTAAACAGGAGACTCACTATGAGTCCAATCTAGTAGTGAGACCCTGAACACCCTGTAGACCCTTCCCTAAAATACAGGAAAAAATAAATAAAGAGGATTGTATTTACCCCTGCATATCCAAGATAATGGCATTGCAACATGTGAGTGATATGGAGCATGATGTGATAGTTTACATTTTTTTTTCACACACTAAGTCTTTCCAGTGTGTGTTTTACACTTAACTGAACACCTGGATTTGAGCCCCTTAGCTGGGCTCCAAGTCAAGGGCTCAGCGGCTAAAGGTTCCTAGAGGCTGCAGTTTGGGACTTCCTGCAGGGAAAAGACTGAAAAATATCACATACAGTTCATCCAAATCCCCAGTATCAACCAGTGCCTCAGTACCTTTATCACTTCCCCCTTGCTCTTGACTTAAATGGTGCATATGTGGCTGAGTGAATTTGGGATATTGTATCATTCATGTTTTTCCTATGGTTTCTGTCTTTCTCACACATCCATCCTAAAAAGTGTTAGCAAAACCAGTAAGCTGGGCTTTCAGAAGAAATGCAGGTCCGGCTGCAGCCCCCTTCTCGCCGCTGTCCATGCCACTCCTGTGAGCTCGGGGGGGCCCTGCTTCTCCTGTCCAGAGCCAGAAATCAGTCGCCACCACATCGAGCAAAAAAGCAAAGTCCAGGACCACCAAGAAGCGCCCTCAGCGCGTGACCTCCAATGTGTTCACCACGTTTGACCAGTCGCAAATCCAGGACTTTAAGGAGGCCTTCAACATGATCGAGCAGAACAGAGACAGCTTCATCGACAAGGAGGACCTGCACGACATGCTGGCCTCACTAGGGAAGAAGCCCACAGACACCTACCTGGAGGCAATGATGAACGAGGCACCAGGCCCCGTCAACTTCACCATGTTCCTCACCATGTTTGGGGAGAAGCTCAGTGGCACAGATCCCAAGGAAGTCATCCGGAACGCCTTTGCGTGCTTCAACGAGGAGGCCACTGGTACCATCCAGGAGGACTACCTGCGTGAGCTGCTCACCACCACGGGCGACCGCTTCACAGACGAGGAGGTAGACGAGCTGTACCGAGAGGCCCCCATCGACAGGAAGGGCAACTTTAACTACGAGGAGTTCACGCGCATCCTCGCGGGGCCAAGGTCAAGGACAGCTGAGAGCCGCGCCGGCGGCCCCACCGCCTCCCGCTCCCCAGCGCCCGCCGCTGCATGCTCCCGGGGTCTCGCTTGCCTTTCCATGTATCCAGACCTTCTGCCTTGTAGCGCTTGTGTAATCAGGCCCAGAGGGAGGGGGGAGCTGAGGTTGTAAATTGTACTAAAAAAGAGACTGCAAATAGAATCCACAAATGTGAAAGCCCAGGACCAAGAGAAAAAGAAAAAAAAAAAGAAAGAAAAAAGAAATACAGACACTAGTGGTTATTCTCTCCCCTTGGTGCTGTTCTTGTCATGACTTTCCTAGTTTTTTCCAGAGATCTGCTCTAGGTTTACCTCCTTCTGCTCCCAGTACAACTTCTCCTCAGTACAGCAGCTTGGAAAGGCCACAGAACTAAATCACATTAGACCCCTTTTCTGCTCAAAACCCCTCGGCTTCCTGTCTGGTGGAAACGTAAGAAGGGCCCCCAGCTATACCCACAACTTAACCTCCAGATGCTGTGAATGTGACTTTCTCTGAAAGGGGTCTGTGCAAAATGTAATGAAGGTTGCCCAGCATGGTGGCACATACCTGTAATCCCAGCACTGGGCAGGCTGAGGCTGGAGGATCACTGCGAGTTTAGACCAGCCTGGGCTACAAAGTTAGCACAAGGCCAGCCTGAACTGCACAGGGAGACCCTGTTTCAAAATGACCAAAAAAAATGTAATGCAGGTTAGAATCTTGAGATGAACTCATCCTAGAGTACTGGGACAGGCCCCAAACCAATGACAACTGTCCTTAAAAGAGGAAAGACCATGTGATGATGAAGATGGAGGGTGGAGTACTTTCAGATTTCTAGACCCCAGAACTGTGAAAAGCAACAACCAATTTCTGTGAGTGTCAAGCCACTTGGTTTGTGAGTGATTTGTTCTCGCGGGCCTAGAATACTGCAGCATCATCTAGGTAAGGTAAAGGCTGAAGTTCTTGCAGTGCGCCTCCTGCATTCAGGGGCCCCACTTGTGCTTGCACCCGGGCCATCTGGTCACATGGCCCTCAGCCTCGAAAGTCGCTGCCCATCGCCAGGCCGCTGCACTTGTTCTTCCCTCAGCTTCAAAGAGATTTTGTTTGCTGTGTGCATTTTTACTAGCATGCTGGCCTTATGAAGGCAGGACCCTTTCGTCTGTTTATTTGGTGCTGTGTACCCAGCTCCTAAGAGACACACACAGGCTGAAACCAAATTGGATTCTTCCCAAGGATTTACTTTTTAAGGACAGAGTCTGGATTTGTAGCCCAGGCTGGCCTCTAACTCAAGACAATCCTCCTACCTCAGCCTCCAGAGTGCTGGGATGACAGGTATGTGCTACCATGCTGGGATGCCAAGGATCGTGTGTGTGTGTGTGTGTGTGTGTGTGTGTGTGTGTGTGTATTTTCTTTTTTTGGTACCGGGAATTGAACTCAGGACCTTGCACTTGCTAGGCAGATGTTTATGCTGTTGAGCTATGTCCCTGCATTCAGGGCCCCCACTCATGTCTTTTTGAGATAAGGTGTCACTATGCAGTTCAGGTTGGCCTTGAATTCACTTTGTAACCCAAGCTGCCCTTGAACTCATAGTAATTCTCCTGCCTCAGGCTGCCCAGTGTTGGGATTATAGCCACGCACCACCACCTCTGGCCTCTCCCGAGGCTTTTTAAGTGAGAAAAAATGTTTTAAAATCACATTTGCTACACTGTGTTTCAATGGTAGCCCATTTCAAGAATCGTGGTAGATGAAGGACACATCACTGTTTAGGATGATTTAAATGGCAAACATTCAAATTTCTTGAATTTTTGATTCAGGCTGGGGGTTGAAATTTCTCTACCTATGCTCAGGGAATCACTTAACACGTCACAAGAAAAATATCCAGACTTTGTGTTTTAATCTATTGCCATTCCATTTGCATGCCTATATTTCTAATCTGAGCAATATCTTTGAAGATAACCATATGCAATATAATAAGCATTGTCCTATTATCCAATAACCATTCCCATTATCTTGTTTTGAAATTGTGTATCATTGGTTTTATTGTTCTTTTCTCTTTAAAATAAGAAAATAATAATCTATTACCATTCCAATTTGTGAAATTCCATGAATTCACAGCCTTGTCAGTTCTCTAAGTAAAAGTAAGGACAATGATCAGAAAAGCACAGAACACAGAGGTTTAAAATGAGAATCAATAGGATAATTGGGAGGACAGGGACTTAGCAGAATCCCCAATTCCTACTGAGACTCCATTGTTTAACTTGAAAATGAAATACACCACGTTGTCCTTTGTCTGATCATATGTTACCCCTTTTCCTGAGGTCAACATAAGGGAAGAGGAAAAACAAGTTCATTTTCCTCAGGTTCAGCTCTTTTACTCCAGGGTCTCCAGACCTTTAACCAGACTTACTTTCCAAATTGCCCCCAGCAAACAATTTTGCAAAGACAAATGCAGCAGGAGAAAGTTTTCATAGGAAAACAACAGTAGGAGTTTGCAAACAGGTATGGGTAAACAGGCACTATTTGCATAATTGACCTTTGAACATTTTTGACCCCACAGGGTTGAGAAGACAATGCTAAATCAGGGTGAATTTTTTCTTTTTTTTTCTTTTTCAGAACTGGGACAACTGTGCAGATTCCGGCAGATACAGGTTTATACACACACGAGGGAGGATAAATG